AGAGAGAGAGAGAGAGAGCCTCACATTGAACACTTGAGGGCATCTTCTTGTTCTGCTTCTTGTATGCAAAGAGAGCACATGGGCCTATGAGGAGAAAGAAAGAAAGACCTTAAACAGGCGTTACCTTCTATTTTTTAAGGTGTCCTGTCTTTTCTTTAAAAAAAAGGGGTGTGGCACTAGGCAGGCCCCTTGGGCACCCGCCTAGGCCAATTAAGTGTTTTTTTTCTCACGGCCACATAGCGGCCAAATTTTTGAACATTGGTTGTATAAGATATATGCAGTCATTTGTACTTCCTCAAACCTGTGTTATAAAGTTCATATGTATATGTGTCAATTTGCAAATGAGCTTTAATTCAGTCCATTGGCTTTAATAATCAGGTTTTCCATTTGTTACTTGGGTGGGAGAGAAAGGTAAAACTGTTGAAACATTGTTATAAGTTCATTTATGAGCTACGATTAAGCATTATCTGCTTCATAAAAAATAAATGGTGTAGAAGAAGGAGAACATCTGTCTTGAGCATTGTTTGCTTCATAAAAAATAAAAGGTGTAGAAGAAGGAGAGTATCTGTCTCCATCTGATAGAAATATTTTCTCCAAACCACTGCACCAAAGGTTGATGACCTGCTGTTACTCTACCATGTCGCTCAATTTCAAGAGGATCTGTTGTTTTTTGCTTTTCCAGGATAGGAGATGGAACCATGAAAGCTTGAAGCCTTGGGCCAAACCCGTAGCTATAGAATCACTTTTCTAGATCGCATCTCTAACCTATAACTCAACTAGCGACAACAATTAATATAAATTTTGTTATCCTATTGATGCTGTTATTTTGTTTTAAGCAATGGATAAAATTATCAGTGAATCAATCAATACTATGTCAGGAGGTACAATTTGAAATGAGTTTCTAAATGTTATGTTTGCAAGCTTAATTATGTGGAAGTATAGAAAAACATACTCATTACATCAGGAAGTACTCTCGAGGTGCAAAAAATATTGAAATAGGTGAGATTCCTCACTGAAAGTAAGTTTCTAAATGACTGCAAATTGTGCTTTAAACTGAGTTTTCCTATGTGTTATTCATCAATAAAAAATCAGCCCAAGATATGATAGCATGATTAACTTATCTGGCAAGATGAATTATCTGATTGGGCAGCATACAAATATGGTGATGACTCAAGCTTTATCAAGTCACTGCAGTTTTTCTTTTTGTGAATATTGGTGTCACTACAATTGCAACTTAGTATGCTTATCCCTTTATCCAATTGCATGAAAGGTCCCCGTCCAAGCCCCACATGCAGTAATCTAATTAATGAAGAATGAAGCAATCATTGGCTTAAAATCTAAAGCATAGTAATCAGTATAAAAAGTAAAACGATTAAAATATTTGGGTAAGTTGTAAGGCTTGTCAATTCGAGCCTCTTGGAATGTATTCTTTATCAATAGCACACACTCTCTGGACAGTTTTTGTTGTGGCCAATATTTGTCAAATTAGCTGGAAATGAGTAGCAACATATTATTACTTTGTTTGAGCTGTAAGTTTAATCTTTGTCATAAATAACTGGATATAATGTGATGGTTTTTACAGTGGTTTAGTGCTCTAATTGAATTTTTGTGAAAGATATTAGAATTAATATTTTATAGGGCTCCTAATTGTATTCCAATTTTCTGTTTCGGAGCAGGTTATCAGGTACTCACACTATGCCCTAAATAGCTTAGAAATTTGCCCATTTTGGCTCACTTATCTTAGGTTTGACACTGACATAAACCTTTGTATTTGTTGTTCATGCGTTCTATATTTGTCAATCTAAGAGAAATATTGTTTTCTCAGATACACTGCTTTCATCGCTTTGTATCCTGTTGGAGTTGCTCCAGGAGAGAGTGAGTATTCTCTATGATGTGTTTTGATGCTCAAATAGTTAGAAATTTTTTTTTTTTGTGTTTAGTACTTGGTATGAAGCATTGTTTCTACATGAACTTCTCAATCACCTGAAAGTTTCACTTGAATTCAAAGTGACCGAACAATCATGAGTTTGGGATTCGGACTATTGAGGTTTCAGACTTCCAATCCCTACAATGTGATTAGAAGTTTGAGGAGTCGGTTATTTTCTTTTGTTCTGTTCTTTGACAAACATGTGGTGCACTGCTCTTTTTTGGTATTCATTGCGTGGTCATTGCAGTGTGGCTTATGTATGAAGCACTTCCCTTCATAAAGAAGAAAAACTTGTATTCAAGCTTCTTTGACACTCTCCACTTCAGCTACTATTCCTTTGTTGTGGTATGCACAATTTGATCATGTCCAATTACTTTTATCTGTTTAACTATTTTCTTGGATGTCTGATTTCTTCCATGATATCTTACAGAGTCAATTGTTGTTGGTCTTTGAAAATATCAGGTCCTTCTTGTTTGCTACCCATTTCTGTGGTTGAAGCTGTACCTGCATCTTTTTAAGCAGAGGCAATCCAGATTGCGGAAACTACATGAGAAAAAGAAGCAATGATGGTTTGGCCCTTGAAAGCCTAGACCTTTCAATTTTGTCAGTTGGCTTTAGATATGTCTTCTTTTTACTAATTATCATTTTGGCTTGAGACCTATTTTATTAAATGGCAAGAATTTAGCTGGAACTTACTGTTTTCTGAGTGATCATGGGAATTTTCAGTATTTCTAAATATATACAAGACCTTATTTTTGAATTCATGTTTTGATCTATTTTACTAGTAACTAGTTATACAAACATGCAGTTCTCAAACGAGAAATTCTAGCTTCTAACTTTCTGCTTTAAAGGTAGTCTACATTTAGATGGAAAACCTCCTTTTTGGAGTGGTGATCCTGCTGTGGACTTGAGTGGCGATCATGTCTCAAGTTGATACTTCGTATTTATTACAAGTAAAGGAAAACAACACAGTCTAGTAGCTTCTCTTATGAACTCCTACTTTGCTTAATTTTCTGGTAACCAATCTTCTAACAAATAATTTAACAGAATTCCTTGGATGTATCCGTGATGTCGGAGTGGGGAGAAGAAATTTGCCTTTGGAAATAGCTCCTTATAATAGCTTTCGTATCAATAATTTCATAGAAAGTGTGCCGCTCATAGGATATTCCTGTAATTATAGATTTGATATTTCTTGTTTCACTTATTGATAAACAATGGATAGAGAGTAAATTTATGATTTGTTCAACTAAATTTCCATGAGTGTCTAACATAGTATGTGATTATGTTACATAGAGACCAACGTGGGTTTCTGAATTTCAGTGTGCTATGTGCCCAATACTTCAGCCCAGAAGCCAATACAGAGAAAGTTCTTGTGATTATTTATTTTGTAATAAATAAAAGACTTTAATGTGTATATAATCTCTAGTTCATACTAATTACACTTAGATGTTGTTGGCCTAGTGGTATACCACACAAACTTGGTACAAGATGTCTTGGATTCAAACCCACACTTGTGCTCTTTACAATTTTTTATTACCCCTGAAGTTTTGACATGGTCTCCAAGTGTCAACACACAATACATAAGCAAGAATAAAGATTCTCCGTAACATACGTTTGTACATTGAAAAGGAGCGTAAATACCCCTCTTGTATGTGGTCCAATTACTATTTATGGCACATTGAGAAATGAATACGTTGTCCAACTTTCATCAATACCAATCTTGCGTGGGAGGTCAAGTAACATGCTTTTTCTTGTGGGCTTTTATTGACTCGTTTATCGGTTAATCTTCAGTTTTTACAAAGCTTATCGTGTTACTTTCTCGCCTCATTTTCATTTCTTGTGATTTCTTGATTGCAATTCCATATCTCCCTTGCAATCACCATTGGTCTTCTGCAATAGCTACTCAATGTTGTTTCTTTGTACTTCGTCAGTTAGCCCTATCATTTGTTTTCTTGCTCTCATGCTGTGATTTATTCAAGTAGTATTATGTTATTGTCTTGGAGTGGTTTCTTATTGTTTTTATCCTGGTAGCATTCTATTATTGTCTTGGAGTGGTTTCTTATTGTATTCATTTCATTTGTATCTAGTTTTTCTTTCCAGTTTCGTTTTCTCTTTAGTAGTCTTATTCTAGTTTTCTTTAGTAAGTGTTATTTCCATTAGTGTATTAAAGATGTAGTTTTGGTTCTGGGGTTACAGATAAGGGTGCCTATTAATGGGATATATTTGTAATATGTACGAATTTGTATACATTTACATAATCTTTTGTTGTCATATCTTTACATCGTGGTCTCATATCTCAAGAGCATGAATCTCTATGAGTTCATTGGCTTTCTTTCAACAAAACCAAGTGTGGACTGATCATTGTTGTTTGTTTCATGGGAATTTTATCATTGAGGACTTCGGCAACCCATGATTATCCTGTTTGAGGACTTAAGGCTTTGAGATTAATATACTCCTTTAGATCCTTTCTTCTCTTTCCTTCTCACAGTCTGTAATTTTGTATTGTCATTCTTTTTATTTTCCATGGCTCGTGTGTTATCTTTCTAGGACATCAGATGGAAATTAAGGTTTTTAGTTTTGCACCACATGAAAGCTGGGTTGATAAGCGTCTTTGTCAGGTCTTGTTGTTTTGTTTACTATAACAAAATGCTCTGAGATCAGCTAGGCTCATTTGGCACTTGGACGAGTGAAACTCATCATTTCCATGAGCTGGTCGTCCTTTGGCTCATCTAAAGCACCATAAGCATTGGATCAATTCCCTGTTCTATGACTTGATCGTGGGCGTTTGCATCCCAAAGAATTGTTGTTCTGGTCCTGAAATGTAAGGTGCAAGACATGGGGATGATGATGAATAACATGCCTTAATTTTAGCTCATGGTCATGGAGTTAACTGAGGAGAGGCACTTTATTTGCTCTTCTCCTTGCTTAAGTCATCAAACTCATCCGCATTGGGTCAAAGCAATGGATGGGTGGAAGTTAGTACAAATTTCAATCATTATCATCTTGGTTTTTTTTTTTTTGGAAGGATTGCCCCTTGTGGGTGGAAGGACCTCTAGGGATAAGAGACTTTATATGTGGAATTGAAATAAAATGGCAGTGCTAATGGCATTAGGGTTACTCGTATAGAAATATCTTAGGATATCTGAGTCGAAAGATTTCGATAGAGAGAGAACAACTTATAAAAACTTTGGAACGAGCCTCACATGCCTCTCTCTCCTCTCTTTTGACTTTTTGATTTTTGTGCTTCATGACCTAAGTTTCTCTCTATAAAACTAAGTGTTTCTTACAATCTTTTGTAAGCCATCTCCATTGAATGGCTCTGAAATTGGAGTTGTTTAAATGGCATTTTCAATTCTAGTAATCGAAAGTTGGCTTGCGGTTGTGAGCATCGAACTCTCGATCTGAAGGCACCGTGCGTAAAAAGAATGGATGAATCACACCATTACAAGAGAGTAATTGACCCCAGAAAAGTATGTTGTGCACTCTATTTGAACCTTTAATTTTATGTTTCCACTATGATTAGGATTTATTGTAGAATCATATAGCAAGAAATCCATGGCACCCATTAATCCCAAGTTTACTTGTTTGGTCATAGAGAGAAGTTGTGTGTTTTTTTTTTTTGGAATTAAGTGGGGAAGATATGCCCTTACCTACTTTTTTCAAGTAGATTAGGATTTAGTTTTTTTTTAAGGTATTGGTGGGGTGGTGTTGATAGTGGGAATGAAAACCACAACGTGAAAACTAAAGTGTGGGGTGTTATTACCATGACTTAACCCCTTTTTCGAAAGCTAAGTTCTGTGTTTTGTGTACGACATATAGTAATGAGAAAGCATAAACCACTTATGTTTGTTGTGACTAGTATTCCATTAAATCGGTTATTATTGAAAGAAAAAATTACTAAAACCCCATCCCCGTATGTTGGATGTTCAACTCCCTCTAGTTGAAAAGTCTATCTTATCCGTGATGAAAGTGCCGTTATTAATGATTCGTAGGAAAGTCCAAATAAACATATATTTTTATCTTTTTTTTTTTTTCCCTCTTTCGCTCTCTAAGCCTATATTCCCATTTGTATTCCTATCTCTTTTTAAAAATGTAAATAGATTAATTTCTCTCTAAAAGCGTAAATGAGTTTGGGATCTATTTAGAAAGAGAAAAAAATTGGAAAGAAAACCATAGAAACCAATAAACACATTTATATTTTTTGAGAGAGAAAGTAACAAATTTTATTCATGCTTTTAGAAAGAGCTTTAGAGAACCAACAAACCTATTCACATTTTGAGAGAGAGAGAGTTCTAGAGAGAGAAACCAGCAAACTCACTGATGTTTTTAAAGAGAGAGAGAGTTGAATATGAATGGAAGGTAGGCTTAAAGAGAAAAGAGGGAAAGATAAAATATGAATGTTTGTTTTTACTTTTATGGGAGTAATTAATAAGAATATTTTTGCTATAAATAAAATTAAAAAGTACCATGAGGGTAAATGAGAAAAAAAATGGTATTTTGGAGTAATAGGTGAGGGAGATTTCAACAACGAGCACATCCAACTTGGGGTATATTTAGTAATTTCCCCAAAAACTCTCAAAACACAATTTGCTTGGTGCATGTATGCCACATTGTGCACAAACCTCCCATCCACCATCTTCCTAATCAATGAACTCTGTAGATGAGTCTGTGTTCTACCCGAAGATAAGCTGGACTTAAAAGCAAAATGATTGTTAATCTTTTTTTACTTATCGATATCATTATCATCACCAATTTATGGCAAGGAATGGTGGATAGACCATATACTTACGAAAGAATGGCCATCATGTATATATATATATATATATTAGAAATGGAATTTGAAACGTTGCCTTAGTAGGCTGGGGACTAATTGGCTTGATAAATGAGTCTCTTCTCTCCCTCTCTTTCTCTCTCATTGGTGTTTTTGGATTTCTTTTTTTTTAAAGAATAAATTGTCCCGCAAAATTACATTTTACACTCACTAGAGAGAGAGAGAGAGTGAGTGAGAGAGATGATCACAAAATTCATTTACTTGTAGAGGGAGAGAATAACTTTGATAGAACAAGGAAGAGAGAACATGCAAGTCCCTAGAGAGATAGACATGAGAAAGAGTGAGAATATGAGAGAGAGATAGAGAGATGCAAAGAAATGAGCTTTTTGTCAAGGCCTATTACATGCCACTGCCAAATTGGCATAGTGATGGGCTGCATTCAACGGCTTGACCCATATCAACTGTAGTGACGAACATTCAAAAAGAGAGATTTGAGAGAGAGGCATGAGAAATATTGAGTAGGAGAGAAATTCGCCACAAAGAAGAGGGCAATTTATGTACAGACCCAATTTTTTATTTTTATTTTTATTTTTAGTTTTTATAAAAATACCAAATGGGCTGATTTTGGGCAAAAAATATGCGGAAGGTCATTCAATTGGTGTTTTTTTATTTCCTCTGCATTTTCTAAAATTTCCCTTCGGCCCAAGGTGAAAGGGAAACAGTATTAGTGGAATTAAAATTTGAGGGGTCCAGGAAGATAATAAACAAGGTATTAAGGAGACCAATGTTAAACATTTTAAAAAAGCATATACTACATAATGTAACAAAAAGGAGCTTTAACAAAGTCTCTTTTGGAAAGTTAACTCATGATAAAAGGGAAGATTTAGAGAAACTATTCTTAGAGTAAGAGATTAAAGAAGCAATTTTCAGTTTGTTGGCTGATAAAGTTGCAAGCCCTTGCCTTTAGCCCTATATCATATACGTTGAGATTCGATGAAAAATGACATAATTTTAATAGTGGAGGAATTTTGTCAGAGGCAAAATAAATAAGGGTATAAATGCTACATTGCCTTAATCCCCAAAAGAGGAGTGATTGAATACCTAAATGATATTTGACCTGTACACATACTAGCTACTATATTAATCATCGAAGAGATTTTTTGCAAGAAATCTAAGCAAGTCGTTACCTGATGCAATTTCCAATCCTCAAGTTACTTTTATCAGGAACACCAATAAAATATAATATAATATATTAAATGCTCATAATACATTTACTCAAGGAAAACAGAGAAGAGACAATGGATTAAATGTGTGCTTGATTTAGAGGATGCATATGGAAAGGTGGATTGAGACGTTCGTATAAAGATTACGGGTGCTATGGGTTTTGTGCAAGGTGGAGATTACAGATCAGCGAGTGTTTTTCATTATTAATGGATGGACAAAAGTTTTTTTAAGGGTAACTAAAGGGTGTTTATCTTTTGCTTATTTTTTTCTCATTATTAATGGATGGACAAAAGGTTTTTTTAAGGGTAACGAAAGGGATTAGACAAGGTGATCTGTTATCCCCATTTCTTTTAGTTTAATGGAAGAACTTCTTAGTGTAAAGCTAAAGTTGGCGAAGATGGTAGGCTTATTAGCAGTTTCAAAGAGTGTAGAGATGATATGTTTATTATCTGGTCTGCAAGTGTGTAATAGAAGTCCAAGTGTAACTCATCTGCAATATATGGATGCTAAATAAATTTGCTGTGATGAAAGTGAACAAGAAATGACTATGCTTAATAGATCTTTGAAATTATTTCAGTTATGAAAGTTAATAGGAGAAAGATAAAATTGGTTGTGTAGTTTGTGAGGTAGACATGGTTAAGATTTTTGCCAAGATAATTGGTTGTAGAATAGATGAATTTCTGGTGAAGTATTTAGGACGGCTAATTACAGAGATGAGAACACCAATTTCTATTTGCGATCCAGTAAGTCATAGGTTTTAATACAATATGGATAGTTAGAAATCAAGTTTTCTGTCCTTAGGAGGTAAATTAACACCAACAAAGTATACTCTAGCCAATTTAGCTTTGTACTATATATCATTATTAGAATTTATAGCGATATTGACGAACAACCGTAGTGATTGGTGAGGAGATTCTTTGAAGATGAATTTGAGTAACTTTAGTTTGGTCGCTTGGAACAAAGTCTGTGCGCCTAAGAAAGATAGTGGAATGGGGCTCAAGAAAATGATGTTAATGAATGCTACATTATTGACAAAGTGGTGGTGGAGGTGTTTACAAGAGGATCATCAATTGTAGAAGAATAAACCAGAAAACAAGGACAGGAAAGATGTTGATCAAATTTGGTTGCAAAGGGATTGAAGAAGAATGAGATATCCCCTATGTGAAGAGCAATAATATAAAGATTTATTCATGAGGAACTCAAGGATTTTGGTTGCAAAAGGTGATTGAACAAGATTTTGGCAATATAAATTGATTGGAAAAAGGCCAATGAAGTTTGTGAATTTCAAGAGTTGGACATAAAAACATTGGGAGACAAAATTACACATAATAGATAATAGAAGCTATGGTATTCCAATATATGCAATGTGTTCAATTGTTATGACAATACTATTATAGTGCAATGGAGAAGGATGAAGTAGTGTGGGAACCATTTGCTGAAGGTGAGTTCTCAATTAGATCAGTGTATACC